CATCGCTACTAGTAACAAGTGCCTTACTAGTAGTAACAAAGAAGCTACTAGGAGTTGACTTTCACAAATGATTCAAGGGTGCAGACGGTGTCGAAGCAGAACCGTTCACAACCCCAACGATCAAGTCAACCACCAAGTCAACCGTCATTACCATCATTACCTACTATACCTAATCGCTACTAGGGTGGAGGCCATCGCTATTGGGTTGGACGCAATTTTTTTAAATATCTTCACCTATACCTTAAATTTACTATAGGCTCCCAATAGAATGCTATAGCTTACCTTCCGTTTTAAACTTTCTTCTACCACAATACTCCGCTTCGCTGAACACAATAGTGGAAGATCATTCCACTCAAGTATTTGCACTCCACACGACCAATGTCTCTCATCCATTCTCTCATATTGCACCGTAGATCTTTCCGTTTCCCAACCCTGTTTAACCTTTAAAATAGATCTGCAAAACCACATGCAAAAAGCGCATCCAGATATGTTTCTGACTGCGGTGGCTGTGGCGTGGCAGAGGTATGAGCAGTTTAGTCGATGCAGGATGCAAATTCGATCTCATGTGATGCGCATTTCAGCGCAAAAAGGAGTGAGAACTCGGTTTCGCATTTCACCATGTTGAGTGGTGAAAAAAGCAGCTGAAACCAAGAAACGTACTACTAGGTTTGAGACCATCGCTATTAGGTTGATTTTCTCCAGATTCGCGACCTCATCGAGCGCAGCAACATTGAATCTTTTTTGAGTATTTGTTGCAGGTGGCTGGCTGGGCGTCAACAAGCCGGATTTGCAGTCGCTGGCGGATCCGATCATGAATGCCACGGTGAGGATCTGAAAAAAACAACGATGTTCGATGCTAGCAAGGGCATTACTAGTAGCAAATAGCTACTAGTAGCTTCTCGTTACTAGTAGTTATGCACTTGTTACTATATTTTCTCATATGTTCATTTCTTTTCTTTTTCTCTTCTTTCTTGCTTCTTTTCTTTTGTGTGAACAATACACATCCGAATGGTTTGGGACATTTGAGCTCCGACTCAAAAGGTGAAGATGTTCTTCCAGATTTCACAAGATTTGCTGCCCACACCTGTGAAATGCCGCAGCCTCGAAAGAACTCACTCTTCTCCTTACTAAAAAAGATGTATTTTTTGTTATCTTTTCTTTTTTGGCCCGCTCCTACTTAAGTAAGGAGGTAAGCTACTAGGAGAAGTTCGCTGGCTAAGAGGTCTCCACTCCTTACTCTACTCCTTACACTTGTACAACTAGGTCTTGAATCGCACTATTTTCGATGTCTATTTCAAGTTTTACATTTGGCCCAGCTATTAGCCTTACAAATCAGTTGGAATTTGAAAGCAGCTGCATGTGTGTGGTGGGATATGATTGAATTTGAGTAGACAAGACCAGACACGATGTGTCACACGATGTGTCACACGATGTGTCACACGATGTGTCACACGATGTGTCACACGATGTGTCACACCAGGTCACTACAAGCAAAAACCTAATAGCCTCTTGTTACTGGTAGTAAGGCACTTGTTACTAGTAGCGATGCACTTGTTTCTAGTAGCCTCTTGTTACTAGTAGTAAGGATGCTCCTAGTAGTACGGCCAGGAGCCCCTAGTAGCGAACATTGCTCCTAGTAGCGATGCCAGGATCCCCTAGTAGCGTCTTTTTCGACACACGAGGTCACTACACCTTCAACCTTCGTGATCCTGCCAAGATGGTTCAGGGAATGCTCATGGTCGATGTGAAGAGTTCTCTGCAAAAGCAGAAGGCGTCGTCTACGTCGAATCACCTAGGAACAAGGTTCGCTACTAGGAACAAGTGCATCGCTTCTAGGAACAAGTGCCTTACTAGTAGGAACAAGGTTCGCTCCCAGGAGCAAAGGGCATCGCAAGGGGCCGTACTACTTGTTCCTAGTAGCTTCTTGTTACTAGTAGCGATGCACTTGCGACCAAAAAGTAGCTTCTAGGAACATGTAGGAACTCATTGAACTTGTGATCTCATGGATCTCATGGATCACTGCGTTGCCACAAACAAGCGTGCTGAACTGCAGGATCTCATTGATCTTTTCCTCCATGAGAGCTGTCGAGTCTTCCGAGATGCTTGGCCAGAACTTCCTGATGGAGCTCCCATGAGCTCTCACTTGACTTTGAGACTGAATAATCTCAACATAAAGCATAGTAACAAGAAGCTACTAGGGGCTCCTGGCATCGCTACTAGGAGCAAGGACGCTACTAGGGGCTCCTGGCCTTACTACTAGGAACAAGGTTCGCTACTAGGGGCTCCTGGCATCGCTACTAGGAGCAAGGACCCTTTCGACTCCCACTTTTCGAACGCCCAACGACCTGGAACGACGATCGCCTCCTGTGCTTCTAGGATCGTTTGATTGATGACACCGACCGGGAATGGCGATGATCTTAGAAAAGGGCCCTGCAATTCTGTTCCTAATAGCTTCTTTGTTCCTAGTAGTACGGCCAGGAGCCCCTAGTAGCCAACATTGCTCCTAGTAGCGATGCCAGGAGCCCCTAGTAGCTTCTTGTTCCTATCAATGCTGTTCCCAGACGGAATCGCATCCAATTTGAAGGTTCAACCAAATGATTGCGGACAAGATGAATGCTGAGATGGCCAGCGTCGCAGCTGTCGACAAGCTCCTTGACAAGTCGAGTTCGCCTAAGTCTCCGACAGAAAAGCCTAAAGGTGCCGAAAGGTGCTGAACAGTCGAAAGGAAAAACCTGAAAAGAAAGAACGACTAAACAAAACCAAAAAGAACAGAAAGGTCATGAAAGGTCTAAGTTTAAGGAAGAAGTGAGAAGAACAGACATACACTACAGTCACTACAGTACTGTTAGGATTGGTGCAAAGCGGCGCTACTTTATGGTAGACTTGACGCCGATCCAGACACGGCCGTTTCAGCAATGTCGTGCTCACAAACTAGCTAATAACAATGGCCTCCTAGACCTGTCTTCCTTCCTTCTCTTTTGTCTTTGTTTCTAATAGCGATGTTCTGCAACCTAATGGCAATGGCAGCATGAAGCAGCACGGTCAACGGCCTGCTGCAGTGGGGAACTGGTCCAGGCACCGAGGAAATCAGACAAACACCGCCTACAGGATAATGGAGCAAGGACGCTACTAGGGGCTCCTGGCATCGCTACTAGGAGCAAGGACGCTACTAGGAACAAGTGCATTTGCTACTAGGAACATCAAATCTTCAAAAAGCAAAGTTTGAAGCAGAACCTGAACGAGCCTTTGTACTGCTGTCATCAGCGGGCACACACAAAAGGATGGGGATGTGACACCAACTCATATTTACTTGAAGCGCTATTGAAGTTCGAAAGGGCACGGTTTGTTTCCACAGCAAACGAGAAAACGACCTCGAACCAGCCCAGCGGCATATGGAGCCAGACTCAGAAATCTCCAAAACCAACAGTCTTTCGAAGAAGCCCTTTGAGGAAAGAGCACGAGCATTGCAAGTCTAGTGTAAAATGCCAATGAGATTCCTAATCTAAAGGTAAACAGTTGTACAAGCCAGCAATGAATTAGAAACAAGTGCCTTACTAGTAGTAACAAGAAGCTACTAGGAACAAGTGCATCGCTTCTAGTAACAAGTGCCTTACTAGTAGTAACAAGAAGCTACTAGGAACAAGTGCATCGCT